CTTCAGTCTAGTTGTGGAGGACGTTGCTTCACTGGCCCAAGTTGGCACCATCATTGCGCTCTTCCCAGGTGAGGCAGATCAGTCACTGGCTTCTGAACCACCATTGAGGTTGCTGGCCTCTCACGCTGGCTGCCAGCCACACACGGTAGCCCATGGCAACCCACTGCAGCAGGGGCTGCAGTCTACACCGTCGCCGGCGACTCATGGCAGCCCATCTCCAGGTTGAGCTGTTGTTCAGCATCTTAGCTTGTAGAGGTCAGTGTCACTGGCCCTCATATGTGGGATCCCAACAGGGGCCCTCTGGCGTCCCAAGCCAGTTCTTAACCAACGCGCCACTTGGCCGGCCCCTGGCTGTTCCCTTCTTCAATCCCCCAACACTGTTCCCCTTTCCCAATTCCCCAATAAAATCTTAAAAAAAAAAAAAAGTTTAGAAATTTTTGTAATCATGTAACAGTAATTTTCTGTTTTTTGTTTCTAATAATAACACCCTTAAGGTTATAGTTTATCTGTTTTTAAAATTTATTCTTTAGTTATCCATTTAAAATATATTTTACAAAAGCATTATGTGGTGGGTGGGAACAGTCTTTGCTCATATTTAGCTTGAGAAGAAGTAATTTAGACGCGTTTTAGGCAAGGATCTGTGTGGGGGCAAGTACCGTGACTAACATGTACTTTGCCCATAAGTAGGGTTTGCTATATAAACATTTTCCACCTATCTTTAGAAGCTACTTAAAAGCCTTCTGAAGCAATGTAGGGAATAAATGAATAAGATAAACTATTTACTTTGCTAAAATTTCATCTCAAAAAGGACTTTTTCTTTTATCAAATGGTGTAAGGGTCGAGACCGCGGTCTCCTCAGCTTGTTCACCACCACCACGGTGAGGGATATGATTTAAAAACTGGTGATCAGAGGACAGTCAAGGTTCCTTCTTGGTTTGATATTCTACTTTATATATGTATACATACAGACATGTATATTTTAATGAAAATAATATATGCATTTTTAGAAAAATTAAAAAAATGCAAATGAATAAAACAATCAAACCACTTTTAATCCTACCACTTAGACTTAACTACTGATAATATTTTGGTATATACTTGTCCGGCCCTTTTCTTATGAACATATAAATATATATTTAAAAATTAGAATTATATTTCATATTATTTAGTATGCTTCCTTTCAGTTTTTGGGGAATATCATACCACATCAACATACATCTGTTATAGTTTTTAATAGCTAAATTACTCTTCAAAATTCTGACATCTGAATAAATGAAGTTATTTAAACTCTATCACTAATCTTTCTGTTTCTATAGATTTGTGTATTAGGAACAGTTCATGCAAATGGAATTGTACAGTGTGACGTTTTTTATGTGTGGCTCCTTTTATTAGGCATGTTCTTCAGGTTTATCATGTTATAACATTTATCAGTACTTTTCTTTTTAATGCTAAATACCATCCCGTTGTCTGGATAGACCACATTTTGGTTACCCATTCACTAGTTGATGGACATTTGAATTGCTTCCACTATTTGGCTATTATGAATAATGGTGTTATGAATATTTGTGGACAAGTCTTTGTGTGGACATGTGATTTCATTTCTCTGGGGTAGATTCTTAGGATCAGCAGTATTTCATCGTATAGTCAATTTATGTTAATTTTTTTAAGAAACTACCAAATTTTATTCTAAAGTGGCTGAGCCATTTTACATTTATACCAGTAAGGTGTGAGGGTTTTAATTTCTCCATGTCCTCACCAACATTTGCTGTTTTTGACTTTTTGATTATAGCCATTGTAGTGAGTACGAAGTGATATATCATTGTGATTTTATTTGTATTTTTAGCTGAGCCATCCTGCCACCTGTTGGCAGCTCAGCGGTAGCTGAGCTCGGGCTGGGCGTCGAACCGCTGTTGCTCAGAGCTCGCACTCTTGAGCGAGCTCTTAACCAACTGAGCCACTCGGCTGGCCCTCTGTCATTGTGATTTTAATTTGTGTTTTTCTAATGAGTAATGATGTTTTCTTTTTTGGCCATTTGTAGATCTTCATTGGTGAAAAGTCTGTTCGGGTCTTTTGCCCATTTTTATTTTATTTTATTTATTTATTTTTAAAATATTTTTTATTGGGGAATTGGGGGACGGGAACAGCATTGGGGAATCGGGGA